CTTCCAGGAGTCATGCCTGCAACTGAAGAAATGATCTGGCCACCTGGGCAAGGAGAGGCCGTTCGGCCTACATTGACAGGCGGGTGTGCGAGGCTCTGACTGGATAACTCTGGACCTCTAAACTGTTGTATGAAATCTAGCCAACACCAGTCTGGCCCCTCTGAATGACATTCTGATCCCCTGCCGTTGGCATCTGGTTGACATTTGTCAGTCAGCTGACATTGGACTGCTCCCCCTGGCTTTCCCCAGCGTGTACTATCTCCCGTGGATCTCCCTACAAACACCAGGGCCTCTGGGCCTCACCCCCCACCCTCCCCCATCTGTCAGGGATCCCCCAACTGCAGCAGGCCAGCAAGAGCAGGTCCATAAATTAACAACCAAAGCCCGATCCAAAATGTCTTCCTGTTGTGGCTGCCTTTTCTGTCTATTAGAACGGAAATTGAAAAGGCGGGTTCACCATGACATTAACATGTCTGGGGCGTCAAGGCCCCTCCCTGGCAAGGGCCCTTGTACTTAACTCTGCATCCATAATTTTCTTTTCTCAAAAAAGACTCCAAAAATTGTAAGAACTTCAGGCCACCCAAAACCTGGATCCACCCCTGGAGAAATAACTTCTCTTGGAGATCTCCTTGTGAAATAGCGAGGCATTCTTGGGGAGTTTATAGGTCATAATCTCAGGATTCCCGCTTAGATTGGGATTAAAGCCGAGGTCGCCCTGTGCCCGGTGTCCTTCCACTTGTACGTCAGGCTAGGTGCCTTCCCCAACCCCGTGGGACGCACTGGCCTCAGCCTTGTTCCACTGTGGCCGTCGAGCCAAGGGAAGGCCAGGGCTCCCAGCTCAACAATCCGCCTGGGCCCCGCCCTGCTCCAGCTGTGTCCGCTGGGCTCTTGGGGAAGGGCCAGCCCAAGCCAGATGATCTGACATGATGAAAAGGGAAATTCTCGGCATTCCTTCTGCAGAAGACATTTGCCAAATGCGATGCAGTGAGGAGAAGCAGGCTGGGGTTTTCTCGGGCAGCCAAATGCATCTTCAACCCCAGCAGAGTTCGTTCTATGTAGCAAAAACTGGGTCGCATCTATTTCAGTTGAGTTTCACAGGGAACTAGTGTCTTCTGTGGACAGAGCAGGGGGCCAGAGAAGAGGAGGCCAAGGGAGGATGCGGGACCAAGCATCGAGGTACTCTCTCAATGCACACGGACTTCAAGTTTTGGAAACATGTCTTCATGTTCCCAGAAATGACCCAATGGAACAATCAGATTATATTATTTTCTCCAGCCATCAATGCACAGTGATGGTTCCAGAAGGCAAGGGCCAAAACCCTGTTTTTAACTCTGTCTTGACTCTCACACTAACCAATTGCCTAAAATTTCTCACAAAGTTACTTTTTCCCAAACGCTAATATTCCTTTCTCACCAAGAACAAAGGAGATTTGGTGGGGAGAATGTCAGTCTGTCAGTTTGAACCTCCCAAGCCAGCTTTAGAGGGTCAGCTTCCACCGGGACATCGGAGGGGTGTCCAGAAAGTTGACCAGAACCCTCTTTCCCCCACAGCTAGTGGGTAACCTGTGATGCTAGAATTACCTCCTAACTATCTACCCCTCTTAGAAGCCTGTGCACTGTAGTTATTAGAAGCATTAGATTATCTGGTCATGTTGGCAAAGCCAAACATTCCTTCAAGTCTCAGCTGATCACCTCCTCCATGAAGCCCTATCTGACTGCCTCCCACCTTGAAGCTGAATCAAGCATCATCCCCCCGCCACGACCATCTTTGTATAATAGCACTTATGATCTCATCTACCTATCTACATCAGTTCTGTCTCCCTCACCAGCCTGGAGGCATCCCATTACTTAGGTTCTCGATTTCTCTCCCACCCTCTAGAGCTCACTGTCACTTCCTGCCCAGTTAGTCATTATGATTATGAGCCTGTGCTTCACAAATAAAGAAGCTGAGACTTGGGAAGATGGTGTCTGCCCAGAGTCTCAGTGCTGGTTAAGTGTCCACACCTACACGCACACCTAGATCTTTTGAGTCTGAGTCTGGTGTCCCTTTCACCTTTCAGTGGCCACAGGGAACAAGGCTTTAAGGAAATGAAGATATTGGGAGGGTGAAAGTCTAGAACATGGCTTCCTTGCCCTCAAACAGAAGATTAGATGAGAAATTGTGGGCAGAGGTGCCCAAAATATAATGCAGTCACAAGTTAAAAGGCCTACAGAGGCCAGGCGGGGCCCGGGCATGGTTAAAGCAGGTCAGGCAGGGACTGTGAACCACCCGAGAAGGTGTGGTCACCTAAAGGGCCCCTCCTTTATTCAGAGCTGACAGATTGCTACTACATAGGAACACAGGCCCAGAATTACAAATTTTATTTTTATAGTTGGAAATCTCCACTTCAATAAAAAGTCTCCAATATTTTCAATGTTGGCAGCTAATAAACATTAAAACAACAACAACAACAACAACAGCTGAGGGCCAAATACATTTGCGAGCTAAACTTGGCCTACGGTTCACAGTGTGTAACCTCTGATGCACGCCCACTCCAGGGACATCGGATCAACCAGGGCAAATTGATCTAACTCTGCTCCAGCGCCCCCTGCCAATTCACATGGCGTCATTTCGCCATGCGGAGAACGGGGTGAAACCTAAGGTTTCCTAGTGTTCTGCCTGCATTGCTTTGAGGGCTACCTCTCGGAGAACCAGAGTTTCTGAGGAGTCAAACACACAAATGGTGGCCTTCGGCAACCAGGCTTCCTACTTCAGCACGACTCCCTCCCCTTCCGTAATTCCTGTGTCCTCTCAGCTCCCAGTAGAATAACCTCAGGATCTGGATCAACCCATGGGCCACACAGATCAGTCGGCCTCCCAGAAAGAGACTAGTTTTCAGCTTGTCTGATTTGGCATTTCTTTTTCTTCCGTCAGAATTTCTACTCCTTTCTTCGCGGATCCCTTTCTGCTTCTTCTTCAAGGGCCCCACGGAACCTCACGCAGCATTTGCCCATTAGTAAACGCTCCATACATGTGAAATGGAAGGACGAAATGGCCTCCCCAACCTTCAACACACTCTTTCGTCCTTGCCTCTTTGCAGGCATCTTAGCCAGCCGCAAGGTCAGGTTTCCACAGAATGGAGAGATCTCTGCTAGCCCCACCGTCCCCGAGTGCCTACCACACACCGGGTCCCCTCCTCATAGCATCTCCACAACAATCTTCTAAGACAGGTCCCAACCTGTCCTATACTACCGATGAGAAGAACAAAGCCCCGAGAAGGGGGAAAACACTCAAATAGTCAACCTAGCAACTGAACCCAAGCTAAAGCAATTCCAGAGTCGACCCCCAATGATACCAGCTGTCCAACCTTCCTGAGTGCTACTAGGATCCCCATGTTACAGACGGCAAAAGAGGTCAGACAGCTTACAAAGCTTCCTGAGCATCACACCCAACCTGTAAAACAGCGGCGTTCACGATTACATCACAGACTCAGACCCAAGAAGCAGTTCTAGATCCACGTCTAAATTTGAACGCAGGCTTAGTTGAAATGAAAAAAAAAAAAAATTACTGTAATAAACAGAAGGAAACAAGTTTAAGGCTGGCTTTGCTCTAATCCCTACGAATCACGCCTTGAGTTAAAAAGCTACCAAAACGTTCGTGCACATGAGCTTAACACGTTGGATCTTTCCCTTTATTGGTGAGTCTGATTTCTTCTCTCTTTACAAGTATGATCTTGCCTCACGGCCTCTCGCTACTCAATGTGTGGTCCATGGACCAGCAGTAGATAGCAGGGTTTCCCAGGAATGTGGGGTCTCAGGCCCCACACGGACTCAATGCGTCAGAATCTGCCCATTAACAAAATTGTCAGGTGATTTGTGTGCACAGGCGATTTTGAGAGCTGGACCGCATGACCTCCAAGAGATCTCAAATATCAGCCACCGTGTGATCAATTCGCTTCGTTGTATCTGAAGACGATGTTGACCAGTGAACGCTGGTTTTTAAGTACAATATAATCAACCCAGAAACACAGCTCCCAAGCAAGAACGGCCCAGGGGACCACAATGAAATGTCTCAGAAACCTCAGTTTGCAGACGAGGGAGCCTACTTTTGGGGGCCCCCAAACACACCTGAGCCCTCAGTTCCCCTACACTCAGCCATTAGCGTCGTCTGCCACGGCGACCCTGCGTCTTCACCCAACACGCCCACCGAACCTTCTGCGAGTGCTCTGGGTCTGTTTCTCACAGAGCTGTAGGGTATCGTGTCTTTCAAACTCCTTGCTGAACAACTGGAGGAAAACTGTCTTCAGCCACACGGAAAAACGCACCCAAAAATGAAGTAAGAGGGGAATAGCCATGAAGCTTAGGGGCTGTCCATAAAGCAAGCCTAGAATGGGCTTGAGAATGTCCTTATAAAGCCATATGGTGATTCCTTGGTGGCCGAGCTGTGGGTGGTATGGGGCTGGGACCAGAACCGTGGAATCCCGGGTTATAGGAAGGTCAGAACTACTCTGGCCACCAGCCAAATCTACAATTAGTCCTTGGGGGAGATGCGCGGGAAGGGACCCTGGGCTGGAAGAAGGACCCAAGCCCTGGACAACCAGAAGCCTTCCCCAGAAGGCAGTGCTTGGCTTTTCCTAGGGCCTGCTGGAATTTCATTATCCCGTTCACACTGTACAGATGGGAATTTAATCCTTAATTAGGGAATAGCTCACCCCAGAGCCTGGGCAGGGGATTATACAAAGCAACTAAGATGTGGCAAGGGGCTGACTATTTCATAGTGTGGTTAATTTGCAAATACTGCCCACTGAGAAGGCTTAGGCAGGAAACCTATCAATATAATTATTATTATTCCTGCAAAACTGCTTGAGTTTCCATTAGACCCCCTTGCTTTCATTTGCTTTCACCAAACAATTCTTCCAAGAAATGTCATATTTACTTAAATGGGGGGAAGGGAGAGAAAAGCTGAAATGCAAAAGAATATTAGGAATGAAACGAAGCTGTTCAGATAAACTAAAAACTCACCTAGACCCTCCATTTGTTCAGCCCGCGGCTCTTTTTATCACTCAAACCAGCTCCGTCCTGATCATTTTCTCTCCTGTGCACTCTGAGAGCAAGGAAGCTGGACACCAAGAGAAACCAAGGCATTACTTCTCGTGCCCTCTACACACTTCATGAATTAAACCACCCACCGATTCTGAGTCCCCCCGATATCCTTCCTATAAATTCTCCTCCCCTCACAGAAGCCCGAGTAGTTCTCTACGGTCTCTGCAACAAGAACCCTAACTGCTCTGTTGGAGTGTCTGGGTGGCTCAGTTGGTTGAACATCCGACTTCAGCTCAGGTGTGATTTCACTGTTCATGAGTTCAAGCCCCACATTGGGCTCTCTGCTGTCAATGCAGAGCCTGCTTCGGAAGCTCTGTTCCCCTTCCTCTCTGCCCTTCCCCCATTTGCGCTCTCTCTCTCTCTGCCTCTCAAAAGTAAATATTAAAAAAGAAAAGAACCCTAACTGCTCTGCCTTGTGTGGATGATAGGGGCTAGAGGATCACACACCCAAGGGCTTCTAGATAATTCCATCTGTTTCACTACTACCACCACCACAGGTTGAAAACTCAATTGTCTAGAACAGGGTCAGCAAACTTTTTCTGTAAAAGGACAAATAATAAACATTTTAGGCAGGCCCCATGGTCTCTGTTGCAACTTCTCAAACCTGCTATCATAAGGGAAAGCAGCTAAAAACAATATGTAAACAAATGAGCATGGCTGTGTTTCAATAAAACTTTATTTACAAAAACAGGTGGTGGGCCAGATGTGGCTGCCATGCAAACTTTCTGATACTTGATGTTCCAGTATAGCATTTCTAAAGACTTCATGCAAGTTTATTCTTTCAAAAAAGAGAAAACATGGGAATGCCAGCTGGTGCAGCCACTCTGGAAAACAGTAGGGAGGCTCCTCAAAAAACTAAAAATAGAACTACCCTACGACCCAGCAATTGCACTACTAGGCATTTATCCACAGGATACAGGTGTGCTGTTTCAAAGGGACATATGCACCCCCATGTTTATAGCAGCACTATCAACAATAGCCAAAGTATGCAAAGAGCCCAGATGTCCATTGATGGATGAATGGATAAAGAAAATGTGGTATATATATATATATACAATGGAGTATTACTCGACAACCAAAAAGAATGAAATCTTGCCATTTGCAACTACATGGATGGAACTGGAGGGTATTTTGCTAAGTTAAATTAGTCAGGCAGAGAAAGACAAAAATCATATGACTTCACTCACATGAGGACTGTGAGAGACAAAACAGATGAACATAAGGGAAGGGAAACAAAAATAATATAAAAACAGGGAGGAAAACAAAACATAAGAGACTCTTAAATATGGAGAACAAACAGAGGGTTGCTGGAGGGGTCGTGGGAGGGAGGATGGGCTACATGGGTCAGGGGCACTAAGGAATCTACTCCTGAAATCATTGTTGCACTCTATGCTAACTAATTTGGATGTAAACTTTAAAAAATAAAAAATTAAATTAAAAAAAAAAAGGAAACAAAGGTGGACTTTCTCTATGACTCTGAGTATGTGTATAAGTAGACCTAAATATATTAGATTAAACCAGTGGTTCTCACATTTGGCAGTGTCTGGAGGCCAGGGTCAGCTTCATGGGTGTCTATTTTACGCAGTCAAATGACGCACCGTGATTAGAAGGGCCCCAGCCCCAGGCTTGATTTAATGCTCTGCCTTCACTGTCTTGAAATGCTTAATAGTTTTTGTATAAGAGGCTCCACATTTTTATTTTGCACAGGGCCCCACAAATTATGTTGCCAGCCCTGCTGGAGACATAGAAACCATCAAAGATTATCACAGCTCGAGAGGTGCTGCTAACATCCTAGCGGGTAGAGGCCAGGGATGCTGCTAAACGTCCTGTAACACAGAGGACGGCCCCCACGACACCATAAACAATCATCGAAATGTCCACGCCGCCACGATTGAGGAACCCGGGCTTGAACCACGAGAAACTGCCAACATTCTACCATTTCTGACCTACAAGTCAAGTCGTCTGGTGTGGTGCAGCCTAATTTAGCTATGTTTTCCATCTTCCTAAGACTTAGTTTGTAAAGATATTTGCAAGCCAGAAAAAAGCCCCCTCTCAATCTGTGCATTTCTGCCTTCTTTTCGTTCACCACAAACAAGCCTCTCTAAAGCTGCCCCCAGTTCTTCTACTCACGTCTTTATCTGTTTCCTGGTTTTTCTAGGAAAGTAACACACGCAAATGGCACAAATATTTAAGGTTCTGAAACATTCTAGGTAAAAGTGAATCTCCTGACCACCCGGGTCCCTGGCCCCGTTGCCCTTGTAAGAGCAATCTCGTCTACCACTTTCTCATTTGCCCCCTGTAGACATTTTGTAAATGGGGCATCCTGCACTCATAGGTATGATCCTATTTTCTTTAGGATGTCCCTTACCTGCCCACGTCAAATGTTCACCAGCAGTTCCCTGTGCCGGGTCCAATCCTGCTTTACTTCCCTCTTCTCTGGAGCCACCTGCTTCAGTAACAAGGACTCCGAATGTTCCAGAGTCTTCTCCCCCAGCAACTCTGCCTCCCAGTACCAACTTACTAGATTCGGATTCCCTTACTCCCCCTCTTTTGAAGTCCTCGCTGAATGAAAAATAACGTTCCATTTTCCATTTCCTAACTTCTCTCCCTCGGTGCTCTTTGTCACAGAATGTATTATTGCTCTGTTTAAGGTCTGTGGGGACCCCGCGCCTGTCAACGCTGTTGAACGGAACAAAAAGCTCTTGAACTTGATTCAGGCCAAACCTATACATAGACTTGACCCTCATTTCTGTTCCAAGAAGAGCAGGAAAGAGCCTGATGTTGGAGGCTTTCACTTCCCTCGTATTGATTTGGACATGCAGAGTAAGGGAGGGGCCTCCCCTCCCTCTGCATGTGAGCAGGAGTGTGTGTGACCACACATTTCCTCATAAACTATTAATGCCACCTTTGGATCAAAAAGGGAAAAAGACAAGCGAAATCAACCAGAAAAGCAGAAGCAGGCCGAGAACACCAGTTCAAGAGAACGGTTAATTATTTAGAGGTATGTAACCACTGTCTTGATTCAAGGGCAACATTTCCAGTTGGGGGAAGTGAGAGGCCTGCGGGAAAACGTGGCTCTGGCCTCAGCCAGCACCAGATGGCTGCTGAGACAGCTGCAGGTCCCTGGGAATCTGCCCTGTGTTTCCTTCTTGACCTTCCCTCTCCCACAGCCACCATATTTTGTCTCCCAGGAGGAAGGCTGCAGGCTCCAGTTTCCCCCAGCCCCTCAAGGAGGGGACAGTGAGGTGCCCCAGAAATGGTAGTCCCGACGGCTTAATGGCAGAGCTGGCAGCTCAGTGATAGAGAGAAGGCTGGGCCCCATCCTTATGGATGGGGGAGTGTGGTCTCGGAAACACAAGGGGGTCTGGTGGTCACCTCCCCCAAGCAGTGTTGTCCTCACCTTCCAAGATGACGGGCAGAGAGGATGGGTAGGCAGAGGTATTGTGGCTTGAAGGAAGGCCCTCCACCAGCTCTCCTCGCTGAACTTTTCTGCCTCCCAGTGCTGCTACCATTTTGTCCTCGGCACGCTGGGTTTGCCCTAATTGTGGCCACGTTCCTGTCTAAATGGATGCCTTGAGGGGTTCCTGGGTGGCTCAGTCAGTTAAGCGTCCAACTTCAGCTCATGTCACGATCTCCGGGTTTGTGGGTTCAAACCTGCATCGGGCTCTGTGCTGATGGCTCAGAGCCTGGAGCTTGCTTCAGATTCTTCGTCTCCCTTTCTTTCTGCCCCTCCCAGCTTTCACGCTCTCTCTCTCTCTCTCTCTCTCTCTCTCAAAAATAAACAAACATTTAAAAATTTTTAATAAAAAAGAAATTAAAAAATGGCTGCCTCGAGAGGGTGGTGCTGGGGAGAAGGGTGCAGGGTAAGCTAGGGGGG